AGTATATATAATAATAAGAAAATTCGGAAAAGTTAATGAACCGATCGGGATTCAACTTAGGATCCTTTCGCGAACCGTGACTCTGCACGATCACGATGGTTTCTTATGATGACTGATTTCCGAACCTATTCAATTAATTACTGGCTTCTATATTCCTGCAATACAAATGTTGCAGCTACGTCAATGAAAGTTTATGCAAAAATTATTTTAATAATTGCAAATTAATAAATTCGAAGATTACATCAATTACGCTCGCAATTTAATTTGCTTTCAAATTATCTGGCGCGCATAACTCGATTCAATCTTGAATACGAAAACGGAAGAAAATTCGAGGACTGTAACATCCTTTCCCTTACGGACATTTCTTCGCGATTCTCGTTTCTTCGTCACATCTTTTAAAGTAAGACTTACTATTCTGGCTATTCGAATTCAGCGTGTCGAAGTAACTTCGCGTACATAATCGTGCGTAATCCAAGACGGGGGCGGAACCACCTGTAGCTTCATCTCATACATATGTATTTCCCCCAAAAGTTTGACGGTGTCGGTGACTCGACTTCGCGAAACCGCAGCGCGAATGATAAAGAGAGGGAAGAATGAGCGATCATACCCGGCGACGTGAACGACGACGAAGCATGCCGACTTACCGGAGCATGCCTGAGGGGGCAGCGGGAAGATCAGGGTAGTCGAGGATTTTCTTCTCGCAACTGCGCAGCCTAAACTTTGTGGTTTGAAGCTGCGCAACTGCTGCATGAAGTCCGAGCACTCCATCAGCGCCACGTCGGCAAAGTGCAGATCGCAGAGTATCTGATTCTTGAATCTGAAACGCACAGTAGCCAAATTTAAAATCGTTTTCGTCACAAACCAGTGGGGGCGGGCATTTCGCGCGGGTACTTTTCGTTCAAGAATCGAATAAAAATCCGCCGCATTTACAGCGTCAAAGTGAACACTAATTAATAGGCAATAAAGAGCAACTTATTTCCTTTTGGCATTATTAATCGTAACGATATAAATTTCCTATATACGACAGATGCGATATCAATAAATGAACAAACGAATGTAACGATAATCGTAACGCTTTTTATTGAACAGTGCGATAATATTTGTTTGTACATTTTTCAATATTAGATTAGACGATTGTGAGAAGCAATCAAATCGATATATTTGCGATAAAAAGTCAATGGATGAATCGTGAAAAATTAATTAAGTAAATGGATAGGATTATGTTAGAAGGCAAAAAACTTCTTCCGCATTGACGCATTCCATTTCAACGTGATAAGAAACCACGAACTCAAACAAGATGGGGATGAAAACAATCAAGAGGAACGAAGTTTCATGAGAGTTCAGCCGCTTGATAAAACGTGAATCCATCGTGACGTCCCGACGGCGACTGTTATTGGAACACGCCGCTCCCTTATCTCCTTTCTCATTCGCTTTTATCGCGTGGATTTACGCGTGATAGCAATTAAAATCATGGACTATATCGAGATTCGCTAGAAACCTAGTAATAATCTATAAAAGAACATGTTTGATCTCTCCGCAATTTACTTAATTTACGGAATATATCGTTAAATTCTCCGGGCAGTATTTTTATATTACACTATATTTATCTCGGGATTTTATATTATTACAACTTCTTCTTGCGTAAAATTTACAGATAAACAGATGAAAAAACTAACTTATTTTTAAGAAATTGCTTATATATATATATATATATATATATATATATATATATATATAGAAATATGTGCAAAATTAAATTTTTCAACGTGCACCAAACATCAATATTTTCGCCAATATTTTACGAATTGTATTCGATATAACAGTATGCGATCGAGTGGCACAAACACAAATCGTAGCAAATATTATTTCCTAAGCTTCATATGACGTTTCTATTTGTATTGCCTCTGTGCGGCGACAGGCGGTGGCTCCGTAATATAGTGACGCATTAGCGACTTGCGTAAAGGTTGTAAAACGGCCGATAATCGCATAACGTTACATTAAAATGTCCATTCCAATTCAGCCTGCATCTGACAGGATTCCGCACGATTATTTCCACGACCCGCCGTCCGTGCCGCGACGGAATAATAAAAATATTTTTCGATAATCCGTCGCGCTCGGCGGAGAAAGCTCGTCGTCGAGGGATGTCATTATGACGTACTGTGACGTGGCGTTTTTAACGCGGTAGCTCGGCGATAACGCGCATCGTAACGTTCGTTGAATCGCAAATGGGCTCCTGAATCGACGACCCGATATAGAAGGATATATCACTCGTCCTTTTATCCGTAAGAGGTCACGCTAAAATCGCCGATTGAACTCCACGTGACTCGCGATCGAACGACGCGATGGGATATGGCTTTCCGATCGACTGAGCCCCACGATGATCCCCCCCCCCGTATGTGACGTAAACGTTCTCTCGAATGGGAAACGTGATAGATAGCCCAGCATTCATTTCGAGATCGAATCTCATCGGCCATGTAAATCCGATCGGACGCGCGAGCGTGCGAAAGCGCGATATTCGCGCGGAGCCGGCATTTCGGCCAGGTTCGAACAAGCCGTTCGCGTGACTCCTAACGAACCCGAAAATGATTTTTCGCGAGGAGCACGTCGCCAATTTCGTTGAATTTCAATCCCGATCCCGATCAAATTAATCGGGAATCGAATCTACTCTTCGCCCCTGCCCCGGCGAGACGAACGCTTGTGATTCCACACTTTGCCATTCCATTGTCCGCCGTGTTTATCGCGGACGCGGAATTCTCTCGACGTTCGTCGGAAAAAGTAGTAAAAGTCGGACGGCGACGTGACGTATGGACGGCGAAAAAAGCGCCGCCTTTCCCTGTCTCGCGATCTATTGACGCCTTTCTCGCCCCGGCGAACAAAGTGTCAAATCGCAAACGGAATCTCCGTTCGCATTGGCGTTACAAAAGCGCAGTTGCGCGACCGACGGAGTTTCTCGTGCCGTACAAAAGACGCGCACGTGTTCCACAATCCACATATTTTATTCCACATCTGCGGATTATTGCGCGAATTAGAGAACAATATTTAATAGAGAACAATATATAATTAGAGAACAATCTTTTTTCCTTTTTTTTTTTTTTTTTTTTTTTTTTCTAAAAATTGGACGTGCTCTGCTATATTTGTGTGATAAAAAATGACGAATAAATTCTTGGCGACACAAATTCGTACGTGAAAAATACCGATTCAATCAGCTACGTTTGTTTATGAGAACGTTATTTTCTTTTACGCGTATGTGAAATACAAATTGAATGATATTTCGCTCGTCTCTATTTCGTCACGTACTATATATATATCCCATTTCGGTACTCTACTTCTAAGACTGAAATATCTTGAGAATTCAGCGCCGTGGGACCGCCCGCGTCATGGATCTTTCATCTGGACGGTTTCATAAGCGTCGGCTTGGTTTTTAAAGTATGAAAGGGAAGTCGAGAGTAATAGCATCAAATAGGATGGATAGAATCCTGTTGAATGCCGTGCGATTATTTACACTCCCCTCTGGCGGACAGTGTTAAATTGTGAATAAAAATTATTTTCGCGCGCAATACATCGCGTTAAATCTACGCCGTATCATCAACAATAAATAAAACTGCACGCTTGACTGTATGATTTACCGTTATCCTAAATAATAACATTTTCAGATATAAAATGTAAAGCGTATTCGTTCACCGGACGTTCATTTTGCACGCGACTGAATGCAGATTGCGTGAAATCATATCGGGAAGGATAGTAAAAAGGATAATAAATCGACGGACAAAATAATAAATGATAACCCGAATGATGAAATCGCAATTTATGACTGAGCATTTTTCTGACAATTTCCGCGGCATGCATCATCTCTTTCTGCACACTATGAAGTATAAAATATAAAATTTCATGCAGTGCACACGCTGTAAAAACAATGTAAAAAAATCAATAGTAAAAATCTAAATCTTTCGAAATTCGTTGTCATTCAAAGAGAAAGGGTGTATTCCGAAATAGAGATATTTTTTTTTTTAAGGGGTTTGTATTTTTCCAAGATTTTCTTCAAACGGTATTGAATTAACAGGCAAAATCATTATACGGTCGCATCAACAGTCTCGGTGAAACGAGAACGCGATAAAACGAGTATGATAATAAAAGGAGAAGAGGCGTACCTCCGCGCTAATGAGACACAGCTTACGACAATAGTGATTAAGGATAATATCATTTTACGAGTTCGCTGGAAAGCGTAAACCGCATCGAGAAGGCACGATTCTATATATCTTACTCACCGTCTCGCCCGCTTTTGATTGGGTCCCGTGAGATTCAGGCCGCAGCTGTTACATTTTAGGCACTCCTCGTGATAGTGGTTGTTGTCGTACAACGGCGACGGTTCTTGAAAACACAAAAATAGATTTCAACTTCGAAAACACGTTATCCAATGTATCAAGTACTCGTAATGACAGATGTCAAAATAAAAAAAAATCTATGAGGTCTTTAGTTCATAATTAATTAATTAATTAATTAATTAATTATAATTAAAGTGTATCTCGTGTGATTGATACTCTAGATATCCTTTGTGAAATAGGCTCCCGTCTATCCGATGAAAAAAATATCGAGTTTCTCATATATGCGTACGCTTGCATGTTTCACGAAAATTGTCATGATCATTTAGTGTAAATAAATTATTTTTGTAGCAATTAAAGAGATAAACGTTTCTCTGTATGTTCGTGCGATTTTTTTGCGGATTGCGAATCCTTCGAATTCTTCGTCCCACAAACGCTTCCCGCTGCGTCGCGTAATACCCTCTTTCTCATTATTGCCATTAAAACCTCCGGCTTACTTAAGAGAACCTGCGCATCATCCCGTGCCATTTACACTATTTTTCTACTATTCTTCCCGGTATATTTCCCGATTTTCCCGCTCCCTTTCACCCTCGTTCTCGTGTCCTTACTTAACTACCCCCCTTCCGCGGAGTCGTGTCGAGCTAAGCCGGGGTGTGGTCGCCGCTCTCTCGTGACACTACACCATACCACACCACATCACACCACGATACACCGGAGGTCGTAAAGAATTCCAGCGCATGCCAGGCATGGAATTTTGATATCGAGAGAAAAGCGGGCGTCACGGCGCCGCGCCGGTTTCGTCGGGAAGCAGGACGGCGAGACGTTCGTGATCGCCGCGATATGTGATAATTGCACACGCACATCCGTCAATGGAGGCCCATACATCGTATGCTCTATCCCATGACGAGAGAATTAATAGACTTGTTCCAAGTTAAAAATATTTTATGAACGAAATTTATTATTAATTCTATATAATGATGGATGAGAGCTTATCATGCAAAATGTGATAAAAAAATTAAAAATTTCTCCCTTCTTCTTTAATAACTTTTAATAATGTTAAAATAAATTTCTCGTAAAAGAGAAAATATATATATTGAAAGATAATTTGTTATAACTGATAAAAGATGTTATTTTATAAAGAAATATAGACGCAGACCGATGCGTTTTTCAGAGATTTGGCGATATAGTCAATGTAAATATTTGTATGATATTTTAATTGTTATATTAAATTGTTTAAAAAGAGAAAAAGAGAGAGAGAGAGAGAGAGAGAGAGAGAGAGAGAG